TATATGCATATATATATATATATATATATAATTAAAATAAAGACAATTTTAATCGTATACATAAAACAAATAAATGTATAAATATATAATTGAGCATTAAAAAGTTTGTATGCATTTAAGTTGAACTAAACTTTATCTTGAAATATTCCCATGGGTTTTTTTTTTACATCGGAGGAGAAGGTTTACAAAAAGCTTTATATGTTTTGAATTTCTAAAGTACAATTAAGCTCGTTAAAGCGTACGCGGAGAGTCCATTGGTAGAGAAATCGAGCCATCGGGTTAAACTCGAATCAAACAAAAGCTCATTTGACCCTCAAGGTTCGGAGCAACGCATCAAGGCACGAGTTATATGTCAGAGTCCAATCTCATTAACTCGAACCAAATCCAATTACTTGGTTTGGTCTTGCTAAAACTACAGACTTTATTGGCCAAGAATAATAAGAAAAGTTGACCTCAAAAAGATCAAGCGGACCAAGAGAACGGTCCTAAAACGAACAAGTCAAACTCAAACCACTTGTTACTCATTTACCTCGTTTACATCTCTACACGCTCTCCTCTAGGAGCTAGAGAGCAGGTTTGCGTATATTCCATCCCAAATCCCACCTTTGAACAGGATGTATTGGGTTCGTTTGGTTTGCTTTACATCTCTACTTAAACCTGGCATACTTGTTTTACATATAACAAGCTTTTCCTACATTTTACATACTTGTTTAACTTGAAGTTTGTAAAATTGTGAAATTTACGTCTTCTGGTTGTTGTCTTTCACAATCAAGGTTTCACAGTAGTTTTTCAGCCATGCAGAGGCGGATTCAAGGACCCGAAGCTCCCCAATGAGGAGACCTCGAGCCACCTGCATTCTTCGTGCATGTTTTCCGAGCAAAGAACTGTGGTGAGTTAGAGACTGAAAAACAATCATCAGCAAAGGAAACTTGTTACTAATTAAGCATGCAACAGAGATACAAAATATTTATATAGAGTAAAACTCACACACTTGTCACCAAACGCTTAAACCCTTGACCTCCGAGGAGTTTGAGCTCTACCGGTAACCCGGGTAGCGCTAGGCCAATGACCCTTTGGTGACTTTGTAACTTACTGCAAGGGCCTTGTACACAGGACACTACTATACTAAAAATATGAAATCTTGCTGCAAGTGTTCTAATTTAGATTTTTTCAAGAAAACCTAGGAGATCATACCCCAGGGGTGAAACTCTTGCCAATAATCTATTTGCTCTTAGTTTTGCAAGTCTATCCATCTCATGAGACAGAGGAAAGGTTTTTTCTTTTTTTGATTAACCTGGATATCCAACCCGCTATGCGAGACAGAGGAAAGGTTTACGTACATCTTACCCCATATCCTACCTCCGGAGGGATATAAAGGATCTGTTTGGTTTGCTTTGTTCTATTTACTTCTAAATTACCTCCATTCCACAAAACTTACAACCGTTTTCATTTGGGAATGTCCCATCAAAGTTGCAAAATTTCCTTGTTTTTGAAGTTAGAATCATCTATCTGTACATTATCGTCCTTGCTACTTATTAATACTATTGAGTATGGTCCACGAGAATGCTATCATTGGAGCGCATTAAAGGTTTTTGAAAACCAAACCTGAAGAACCAGTATTCATGGACAGAGGAAGCAACAAAGATTCAAAATCATTTGAAAGCAATTGGATTAAACTCTCTTCAAAATCAACAAGGTAGAAGTAACAGGACATTACCTCAAGAGCTGCATTATAATTGTCAATTATGTGATCAAATCTCAAGCGCAAGAACTGATGTGCTTGCACTTCTCTTGCCCTGTTCTTCAATGGAATTCGGGCCAGACCGCCGTCATTTTGTGTTGCTTCCGTAGCTAAGTCCTGCAATTCTGGAGAGCATACAAAGATTTTATCTTTGTAGATAACCAAAACTAGATGTAATCATATTTACATCAAGCAGACGACATATGGATATTTCTGTTTCTATTTGATGTGGATTAACAAATTGTATTTACATGTTCGATTTTGATGAGAATTATACTAAAAATGTATCAATATTAGTAGAAAGAAGAAAAAAAGGAGCAGAAAGAAGTAACACCAGGAATCAAAACAGTGCTAACCAAATAGAATTTGGGGGAAAAATCCTTCTTTTGACACAAAAAAAGGTATAGTGTGATCAGCAATGTGTCTCATTTTTATTTAACTGTCTAAACCATATTTTTTAACAATATACATCCTTTGTTATTCAAATTAGTATTTAAGATAAGTTATTATTGATTACATATTTTTAATATACGGACAAAAAGTTTGGATATCAGATACTTTTGGCCATATCCGTGTCCACTTCTAGTGAACACAAGCAGATACGGATACGAATTCAGACATTTATGTAGATTTTCGACTATCCATTTGTTAAAGAGAATGTCTGGGACCTTGAGAGGAGGTGCAACATACAACACGAGCAAGCGCACGAAGTGACTGTGGGATTCCCCTCCCTTTGCCACTGGAAGACTTGACTTCCCTGTGTAATAGTTAGGAGCAAGATATAATCCAGTCAGATAGCCCATTCAAAGTGGCCAAAAAATGGTATATAAACACCAGAAACCATCACAGGACTCTACTAGTTACATTAGATATTAGAAGGCATATTTCAAAATTGGTTTCATATTGTCAAGAAAAGCGAAGGGATGTTCAAGCAAGATCTGTAAATCAGGAAAACGTTCACAGCAGGCATAAAGGAATGGGAAATTCCTTTTGGTAGAAATTGGACACTGCAAATATAGGATAAGGACCGGTAGAACAGGACCAGTTTGTCTTCTAAGATACAAGTGATTCTCATATCTGGCAAACATAGAATGTTGACATCCATGATGCCGTGCCAAGTGAATTTTTCATGAACAGATACCTACATTACCAGAAAGCCATTTCCCAAAGAGCTGAAGTCATTAACGCCTTTCAGGGGTGGTGTTGTGTGTTTATCCAGAAGATCCAATTTCATTGCACGCAGGTGGTCACGATGAGGTACACTTACCTCAACTTGAACCTGCAAGAAAGCGATGTCAATGGCCTTCGAACAAAAACATGAGATATGGTGTCAGATGTTCCATAATGATACAAAAACTAATGGATTATGATGCATCCATGGTAGTAGAAAAATAGATCTCTTGATGATCAAGCTCTGGTAGAAAAAGGTTTTAGATAATCTACAAGACCCATTTGACTCGAGACAAACCTTATCATACTTGTTGCAAGGAAGTATAAATCCAAAATCCAACAGAAGTCTAGCATTGGAGAACTTTCCATATCTTATAAGAACCTGCACAAGCTTTGAACAATGGAAGACCAGAAATATAAAGTATGAAGTCCTTGAATGACCCCCCCTGACAATTTTTTAAATGAGAACCGTGCTTTCTTTAAATAATGGATTTCTAAAAATTTCATCTCTTTTCTTCCTCTAAACAACGGATTTCCTTTCATCTGGAGGTGGGTGTAAAATGTTTGAACATATCTAGAACGAAAAAATTTAGGAATGATGAAATGATGTACAATTCAGCTAGTAGATACAAAAGATTGAAGTGAAGAGGACCTGATCACCAGGAGCATAATTTTCATCAGCAATAACCTGTAGAATGCAAATTGACCAGAGGTTTTAGAATATTAAACTGACTGTGAACACCAAACCACTCCAAGGATAGCCAAGAAGGGTCGGCTATGGATGGACATTATTCTTAAGGATGAAGAGGTTACCTCAGACACTTGTTCGAATTCGGCACTCAAAACATCTGTTTCCGAAAATCCATCATGGTTAAAGAAATCTGCAAAAGGAATCTGAAAAGGTATTTACTCACTGAAGAATTTCTACAATCATGACTATTGCAGAAGTACTTGAACATTCATATAAATTCCAGACAGTTATAAAATGTTAAAAATTCATCAAATTAGGATACCATTGAAACGCCCCTTGTGCTGATCCAAGCTCGAGATTCAACTGAAACATTTAACCGAAACTATCAAAAAGAGTTTTCACCTGAAATTATCAACTGAAACATTTACCTGAAATACCAAAGAGCAAAGGGTCATTGGCCCAGTGGTACCCAGGTTACCGATAGAGCCCAGCCTCCAGGAGGTCAAGGGTTCAAACCCCACCAAAGGTGAGAAGTGTGCGTGAGTATTCGCCATATATACATGGTATATACTTATAAGAGAGGAGTTTGCAATCAAGAGTCCTTTTTTTACACAAACAGCCAAATAACTGCAATCACCCAAAATTTTGTACAACTATATACACACATGAGTGGGTGTAATAAACTGCATAGTAAGATAACTATCATGGCTAAAAGTAACTCAATAGATAAGCTCAGATTTAGTTATTATGCACAGAAGTTCCAACATGTAAATGGTGCACTACTTGAATAACATCTCAACACCCTTTTTTTCCTGGACAGTAACTAACTAGTGGTATTAGACTTTGGCTTAGGAAGTTCTTCTAATAGTTATTTCCCTATAACATGTTACAACATGATATATACTTGAGCACCAAATTGACAATTGCTGTATGTATAAAAATTGCTCTACATGTTTGATGATTTAAGGTCCAATGTGGTTGAACCAAGTTAGTTTCTAGTAAAAGTAAAAGAACCATAAGGTTTAAACTTAAGTATGTGTTTATTTGATATATTTAATATATGACTTATAAGATAACTTTTTTTCCTTTTATTGGTTTAATTTTCAACTTATATACACACACAGACATAATATAAGTGCACACATTTATCTTTGACTTTTTAAAACTTCCCAATTCTTGGTACCCATGTGTCATGCAGCCACATGTTTGCAACATAGCACCAACTTCAGCACTTCTTACCTTGTAAGTGGATCTCCGCCACTATAAAAGATAATCAAGACCCTTAAAAAGGTGCATACTATTTGTATCAATGCTTTACTATGTTCCGATATCCCCTCTCATTCATATAACAATTAATGTGATGCTTAGAGATAGAGCAAATTAGAGAGGTACGACACAAATCCATGACATGGATAACAAATAATTTTACTCATGAATGAATGTCAGATCAAGGATTAAAGTGAAATGAAAACAAAAGGCGAATCCGATAAGATGTCGCACCTAGATTATATGCATGCTTAAAGTTGTGCAATGTGACATCTTCAAAAAATTCAGGGAAGCGGTCGAGAACCTGCACAGAAATAAAAATCTTGTGAACATGAATTGTCTGGTTCCTAAGCATCTAGTGATTGACTAGCAGAAGAAAGATCTCAAGAAATAAATCAATAATACTCGACCTTAACATCCAACAATTTAGGAAGGGAAAAGATGAATATGCAATACATAAACAACTGGAACATGTGTCTAAGATTAAACGATGTTCAACCGTATAGACTTAGAAAGTAGGTACACCCTTTTCCCAAAGCTATCATTTCCAAATCGTGGTATAATTACTTGTTCTTATTAATACAGGGAAAAGATGGAAATTGCTGGGGATTTGGTTTTGTAGCTCTGTGAAAAGGCGAATCATTATATAAGGTGTGGCAAATGGATAAGGTTTATAAACCAAAAAGGCATGGACAACTTCCTAAATGTATCAGACACTAATACACCATCATGAAAACGTATCTCATATATTGAGGTACACATCTTATGTTATATGTTCAAAGCCAGTACCTTCAAATGTTACAAACGGTAGGGATATGTAGGAATACTAACAGAACTAATGTAGAAACATCAGTATTACTTTAAGTTGCACCAGCTACCAGGTTATGTGTAGCTTATATTGTAGAAACTAGAGAGTGTGAAGAGTGGGGAAGTGTAGTGATTGCTACCTCTTACTAGGCAGACATGAACACAATATTCTGATAATCAGTGAGCTTGCAGAAACTACAGAAAAGTAACGGACATACATGTTTTATGGAGGAGAAATCCTTTTCAATTTGAACCTTATGTTTCAGCGTTTCTTGATACAGAGAACTTATCCTGATCATCTTTAATTCTTCATCGCTCCAAAATATCTAGAGAAATAAAAACGTGAATAAAAAGTAAACAACACAGGGGAAGATAGAAAATATAAGTAAATAACTCTTAAGATCTCAAACAATGTAGGTATAAAATCTGAGCCAAAAGCGGCAGGATAGTTATTCATTGTATGCCCTCCTTTCTATCCCTAGGAAATGACAAACATGAAAAAGGTGAATGTAGCAGGGGCTTTGTAAAGCCTTTCTTTTACAAGATAATTAAACTGTCCCCTTTCTATCTTTCACACATAGTTGTCAACTTCCACGCCACGTAATATAGAGATGAAACTAATGATTAAGACTCCACTATTACCCCTATGAAAAGTGAAGGTCTTAAAGAAACTTATGTTACACATATAGATAGTAGGGATAATAGGGGGTGGTCAATTAGTCAATTGTGGGGGCTGGTCAACTAATCAAGTGATTACAAGTATAAATAGAAGGGGATGGAAGCGATTAGGCATCAGTTTTGTATTGTGGAATTGGAAGAAAACGTCTCTTGAGAGATCCGGCTCGCTCGAAAAGCTGGAAATCAATTTGTAAACATTTGATTGTTGATTAAAGATGAAATTCCTAGTATAAGATAATGGAAGAAATACAACACGGAAGGAGTTCGTCATGGATATGCCAAACAGTTTACATAACTTAACTAACTTGGATCTCAGAGTAAAAAAACATTAAAAGAAATGACAAACATGGTCATCAAAGTGTGGCCAAAGGTAAAAGGAACATACTGTGCTATGCATCTCCGCAATCGTTGGCAAACAGCTGATGTAAGGGGCCCATTCAGAAGCCTGCACTAGGGAATAGAAGATAAACAAGAAAGTAGAAATCACTTAGAATTCTTCCCAAACACTCTGACAGGATCATGATAGCATGGTCTTATTAATAAGGAACATGTAATAGAAGGCCAATTGCAAACAGTAACTTGTGCAAATTATATTACACACACAAGCTCGTAAGAGTAAGACAAAATTGATACCTGACCAAGTTTTTGGTGCACTAAGATGACCAAAGCAAGTTTTGCAACATCAGTCACTTCCTCTCCTAACAAAGAACTTATTGAAGGAAGTAGATTATCCGGGGCCAGTTGCTGCAAAAAAGATTCACAGACAACATAATTTGGTATTCATGTCTATGGAGCACCAAAGTCCAAACAGTCATAAAGTTCCACCAAAGCATACCACGCTGTAAGGAACCTTCAATATGCAATCACCAGCTTGTATCGGCTTACAAGCAAACAATGACCTGCATTTAGGGCATAGATATGTGAAGAGAATTTGGACAATTGGAAGATCTTGACTTTCAGACCAAAACATTGTGTCATCATCAATTATAAACAGCTTCTAGATAACATGAGTGCCAATGTTACCGGACTTGCCGTCACCCCTTATAATCATGAAACAATTCTTGTATACCCTTTATGGGTGTCATGGTGAGTTTGCAAGCTGGTTCGTAAAATAAACGAATCAAATCAACAAAAAAAAACCACTTCTTCCTAGTTCCTCCTTAATTGAATGGAGACTAATTATTTATATACAAAGAAATTGGTGAAGATTCACTAAACTAATTATCATTTACAATTTTATACATATTTTTATAAGTGTTCATGATCCTTATGGATAATACTTGATTTTTCCCAAATATATATATATATATATATATATATATATATATTTATGCACATGTAAGCACTAAACAAGCCCTGCTAAAGTATTTCACCTGTGTAAGAAAATGATGTATCTAGTGAGACTACCACCCTGTACCACGTACCATGAATGTAGCATGTCTCTATTAAAAAGTATATAATTCATATAAGACCAAGTGGTATTTGGCTCAAAGGTAATCGACTCTCCAAAACCTTGTGAGTGTCGGTCTATCTCTTCAGAGACAGAGACATGCATGTGTGAATTTCTTTTCTGTTTTTATATAATTCATGATCTTTATCGTTGCTTTCAATACTGCTTCTTTTGGTTTCATTTTTAGCCTACCCTAGCTAGTTCAGGAAAACTTCATATGTATCATATTTCAGCGTCAGCACCGTCAGTGTCAGGCATCCTAGAACTCTAGTGCAGCATAGCATAAAGGATCTTTGAACTAGAGCTTTCCATAGAAGGCTTGGCACCAACCTGCAGTGTTCCCCTGAATCTCACTCTAGAACTTGCCATCAAGTTGTGTCAACAGCTTTGACCCTGATCTCTCAGAAGGGGAATCACCATTCACCTCTTCAATGGGTCCATCTAGCTTTTAAGCCAAGGTATTAAAAGTGCAAGAAAAAAAATGTGTGGGCCTATCTAATACCACAGATGGTATTTTCTGAGTTGCTAGCCATTGAGTCTGAACTTGTGGACTATTGCATTGAATTATAAATGTAAAAAACTTAAATAATGGGACTGCATTGTAAGGAAAACCAAATTGCAGTGTTGAGGGTTGAAGATAAAATGGAACAGAAGTGTTTGAAATGGGATTAACGTAAAAGAGAGAGAGAGAGAGAGAGAGAGAGAGGACGTAATAGTGCATAAAATGAAAATACAGATTCTGGTCACCTTTCCATTATTCCATATACCAGAAAATGCCGAGTAACAACTATTCTATTCTAGTATTATTCAAGCCTAACAACCATGGGAGTTAAAATTGTTCCTGGGTTTTCTTGGGATATGCAAGTGCACGTTACTTGTTATAGACGGATAGACCTTGCAACAAACCAGGCTGGATACCATAAGTTACCTGCCATAGATTGATTTCCCAATTGAGAGCACAGATGAAATTTCCACCCCAGCCTTCTGCCTTAACCACGGCAAGAAATCAGCACAGTCCTCGTCTACGTACTGAGGTGCCTAAACTCATTCAGTCATTTAATCAAACAGTTGGCTCCCATATAAAAGATAAAACCCTCCATTGATTAAGTTTAGCGGGGAACCTGATATGGATATGATAATCTGGAAAAGTTGCACCTGGTGCGGAGGCGGCACTTGGAGGGAACGAGGAGGGGCCGTTGAATTCGAACACCTAAAATTAGCATTGCAGTGTCTGAAATGGTGCCCAGTTTCACCTATTTTTGTTTCCCGTTCTTCTGCGAACTGCGGCCTCGGCTCCCTCATGAATCATAATCACTTCTTCACAGACCAAAATTAATAAATAATGAATTTAAGAATAGATAAGGAACCACCCCTAAAATCAATTTTCGAAATACAAGAGTATATTCTTAACTATCAAAATAGAGTATCGTCCTCCAAATTGTATATTTTTATTAGAATTTAACCGTGCTTTGTAGTAAAATATATCTCGATTTTAGTATTTTGTTTTATTTTGTTTTTATAAATGTTTTAATACGATATTTATGTGGTCTTGAGAATGTAATAATGTTTTTATTTTTAAATAAAATATATATAAATTAGAAGATATCACAAAAATTCAAAAATAAATATATCAATATTAATATCAAATTAACTATTTAAAAATTCTTGTTTTTTTAATTCCTTTAATTCAATTTTTTTATTATAATTTAATTTAAATTTAATAACGAAATAAKTTATTTTTTATTTAATAATATATTTTTATAAGAATAATAATTAAGTATTATGTTATAATTCAATGATTATCCTAATTATATTTTAGATTTTTATATTTAAAATAAAATGTTTATCATGTATTTGATTTTGTTTATTTGCATTTAGTTAAACGAATTCAAGCATATAGTTTTAATAAGTTGTATTTATGCACAATTTACTTGTAATCTTGAATTTTAAGTAATATGCATCAATAAACAGTATTTTATATATAAAAAATGGTTTTTAAGAGTTTTTCTCAAATGCTTTATAATATAGTATAGATTAGTAGGTTGAAGAGAATGTGAGATGAGCAACTAACGTTGGATATAACAACGTTAAGAACTTCCAACAACATGATATTTAATAGGAGTTTTTCGATAAGCATAGTTAGGATACCGTAATATATGTGAAATTTTATAGCTAGCATACTAAAGGAAGGGAGCCAAAGGTAGGTGGTGGTAGGGTTAACGAGCTGGAGAGTTCTGTTGCAGAAGCTGAAAATTATACCGGAAATGTGTAGTTTTCTTATCCTAATTATGCTTTTTATATTTACTTTTATTTATACATTGTTGTTACATTTAACTGACATCTCAGTATTTAACATATATATCTTTTCTTATTTCGCAGTGTAATTCGTCACTTGGCATACTCCCTGATGCACTTTAAACTGTACAAAAATTTTGTTTCAAAACCACTATGAATGAATCCAGTTAGTAACATATTGAATACATTGGTAATTGTCAAAATTTGAGCAATGTAAAATGTAAAAATTGGAAAATTAATTTTGGCATATTTACACAAATAAATTTGTTTAGAGTTTATTTTGAACGGTTACAAAAGTAAGAAATGGACTTGGACACTACTTTAACCAAAAAATTTGAATTGTAACATGTAATCCGCACAGTTGTGTCCACACCCTCTGAGTGGACAAGAGATAAGGGATTTCTCGGAGCAAGATGAACAAAACTTATTTGGAAAAAACAATGCATAAAAAAGGGAATCAGTCGAGACCTACTTATGGCAAAGAGATTGGGTTGTATGTTAAAACTTGTTTTGTGTGTTTAACTTGTACTCATTTATATTGACTATTATCAAATATAAATGTAATTTTTAAAGTATCCGAATTTGCTCTCGTTGTCAGTGTTTTTGGGTTTATACCCCCGTAACTTTTTTTTCCTTTCCAAATTTGACATTCCGATACATATTTTTGCTTTATTGTAGGGCCTGACATAATGATTGTTAATTTTCATATGTTAGGTGAGTGACATTCTCGTTTTTTTCATTCTCACTTATTTTTTGTTAACATGTGTTGAGTTTTTGAACCTTTTCTCTCAGTTCCTTTTCTCTTGATCGTCCCTCTCGTTCTTAGAGTCCCAAACATCAACAACACTCTGTCGTTGCCCATACGAAGACGTTTAGACAACAAAAACATCACTAAAGATGGAGAAGGGATGCTTCATCAAAGAAGGAGAATGGGGAGTTTCATCGAAGATGGATGACCGATAGAGATGCACAAATGATCGATTAATCCATTTTGGACCGGTTAAAAGGGCTCGACTGAAGGGTTGCTTACAGGCAAAAGTTCATTTTGGTCCTAAATTGTAACTTGCATCTGGTCATTGGTTAACCAGAAAGTCTTATGGTTATTACCAGGTTAAAGCCCGGTCAAGGGGCAAATTTGTCAATCAAGATTTGTTGTGTTTACACCAATTATTTATTATGACAAACAATTAAACAAGACATCAAACAATAATTTGTGGTAAACAATAATTTGTGGTTAACAATAATGAAATTATTGTAAGAAATTTTATGAAATATTTTAAAGACGTGTCTCTTTTTGTGTGAGTCCCAACTTTAAACTCAACATACAACACAATGGAGTCGAGGGTTGGTTAGAAAAAATAAGATATTTTAGATCTAAACGACGTCCGATTTAATCACTTAAAGGGTCAAAAGCAATTGAAAAATCAATGATGACAAAGATACAAAAAAAAAAAAAAAACCGAACTAAATATCTTATAATATGTAAGAATTAAAAATATATATATGAAGACGTCAAAAAAAGTAAGTGATTTATAACGTTATATTTTTTTAAACTTATGGTCGATTAAATTACAATTAAATAAAAATTCGAGATAATTTTTAAAATAATTGTCCACTTCATAGTTTTATATATGTATATGCTTTATTTAAAGACCCGAAAGGACCGGTTAGGACTATCGATCTGATTTTGATCATAGATTTTTGGCTAAGGACTAGTGATCCCCGATCCGATCAATTTTAGGATTAGTGCCCAATTCATGTGCATTCATAATGACTGTGTGTTGTGTGTATATATGTCATATGAACTGACGGATGTGATTAAATGAACGGTTATATCAATTTTTTTTATACTTAAAAATATAAGACCCTCTGTATTTTATTAAAAAAACAAGATTCAGACGAAATAAATTATACCAAATAAATGATCGTATTTTTCTTCTTAATATGACGTCCATATCGATACATTTTTTCAATTGTTTTTTCATAGTTTTTCTGTTTTTAATTTATTTAGATTTTTTTTCCAGAACTTGACCCTACATACATATAGGGTCAAACTGGGAATGGTTCAAACGAGAACGCTTTCATTTCATGAGAACTGAAGTGCACTTTTTTATTATAGTATATCAAATGTGATACTAAATTAGAGATGTGAATGACATTTAGTACGATCTAGGTTACGGACCAAGTCACCCACTATCTACTAGCCCCCTCACATGTATTATCACATGTGAAAATAGTATTCTTGATACGATACTGTAATCAACCACATATGATATTAAATCAGATATGCAAAACACGATCTAGGTCGCGGGTCAATTTGTCCACACACCATCGAGTCTCCTTCACATGTAATAAAAATGTTATTGTATATTGTTCTCATTTGAACTTTTACTATATATACATATTTTGTTTTTACTTTTTAATGATCAATAATAGGTTAAACCAAAACCAAGCACGACCAACACGTAACATAATGGCAATTTTGAAAGAAAAAAAAAACAATCAAGAAAAACCACGACACCAAATTCATAATTTACTCTATTTATTTATTTGACTATTTAATTAAAAAGACATTTTAGATGTACTAGAAGGTACTCGTACAATGGAGCATGATACATCTCGATTTCAGTGTTTGTTTTATTTTGTCATCTGTCGATGTTATAATACAATTTTACGTGGTTTGGAGAAAAACGATAATGTTTTTATTTTTAAATAAAATATAAAATTGAATATATCTTAAAAATTTTAAAAAAAATATATCGATATTAATATCAAATTAACTATATAAAGGTTCTTGTTTTGTTGTATAACATCTTTAATTCAATTTTTTATTATAATTTTAAGTCTAATAACGAAGTAAATTATTTTTATTTAATAACTAGACAGGGTACTCGTATAATGCAGCGAGATACATCTTGATTTTAATGTTTCTTTTTTTATTCTCAGTTGATGTTATAATACAGTTTTATATGGCTTGAGAAAACTAATGTTTTTATTTTTAAATAAAATCTAAATATGAAGATATATTATAAAAATTGAAAGAAAATATTGATATTAGTACCAAACTAACTATTTAAAATTTACCATTTTCATTTTTTTTTTGGTTTAATAATATAATTTTTTTTAAGATGATAATTAAGTATTATGTTAGAACTTAATGATTATCCTAATTATATTTTAGATTTTTTATATTTAAAATGAGATGTTTATCCTGCATTTGATTATATTTATCTGCAGTTAGTTACATAAATTCAGATATGGAGCTTTAATAAGTTGTGCTTGCGTACAATCTACTTGCAATCTTGAGTTTTAAGTAATATGCATTAATAAACAGTATTTTACGCATAAAAAGTGGGTTTTAAGAGTTTTTTTGTCAAATTCTTTATAATATAGTATAGGTTATGTGTTTTTAAGAAAGCAATAATGATTTTATTTTTGAATAAAATATAAATTTGAAGATATCATAAAAAATTGAAAAAAATATATATCAATGTTAATATCAAATCAACTATTTGAAAATTATATTTTTATGTAATTTATTTAATTTATTTTTTAATTGTAATTTAATTTAAGTTTAATAACGAAATAATTTATTTTTGGTTTAATAATATAATATTTTATAAAGATAATAATTAAGTATTCTGTTAGAATTCAATGAATATCCTAATTATATTTTAGATTTTTTATATTTAAAATGAGATGTTTATCCTGCATTTGATTATRTTTATCTGCAGTTAGTTACATAAATTCAGATATGGAGCTTTAATAAGTTGTGCTTGCGTACAATCTACTTGCAATCTTGAGTTTTAAGTAATATGCATTAATAAACAGTATTTTACGCATAAAAAGTGGGTTTTAAGAGTTTTTTTGTCAAATTCTTTATAATATAGTATAGGTTATGTGTTTTTAAGAAAGCAATAATGATTTTATTTTTGAATAAAATATAAATTTGAAGATATCATAAAAATTGAAAAAAAAATATATCAATGTTAATATCAAATCAACTATTTAAAAGCTCTCATTTTTTATGTAATTTCTTTAATTTTATTTATTTTATTATAATTTAATTTAAGTTTGATAATGAAATAATTTATTTTTTATTTAACATTATAAATTCTATAAAAATAATATTTAAGTATTCTTTTAGGATTCAATGACTATCCTAATTATATTGTAGATTTTTTATATTTAAAATGAGATGTTTATCCTGTATTTGATTATGTTTATCTGCAGTTAGTTACATAAATTCAGATATGAAACTTGAATAAGTTGTACTTATGCATAATCTACTTGCAATCTTGAGTTTTAAATAATATGTATTAATAAACAGTACTTTATGCATAAAAAATAGTTTTTAAGAGTTTTTGTCAAATGCTTTATAATATAGTATAAATATAATTTTTTATAAATATAATAATTAAGTATTATGTTAGAACATAATGATTATCCTAATTATATTTTAGAATTTTTATATTTAAAATAAATTGTTTATCCAGTATTTAATTGTATTTATCAACAGTTAGTTACACGAATTCAAACATGAGCTTTAATAAGTTGTACTTATACGTTATTTACTTGTAATTTTGAGTTTTAAGTAATATGTATCAATAACAGTATTTTATGTATAAAAAATAATTTTTAAGAATTTATATAAAATACTTTATAATATAGTAGAGATAAATTGACTTTGCAGTTTCAAACTCGGACAGTTCCAAGTTTCAACAGGTCTCGCACCCTAGGGGTGCTCATGGGTTGGGTTGATCGGGTTGAAGACATTCGAACAACTCAACCCAATGCTTGCGGTTTGGAAAAATCTTAACCCAACCCAACCCAACCCAACCCAAATCAAAGTACAACCCAACCCAACCCGTACGGGTTGGTCGGGTTGATACTTTGGTATATTAAAATATTCTTCTAACCTTGAATATGTTATTTCTCTACTCATAATTTCTTTTTCATCATCAACCATTTGATACAACTTATCCATATTTCTTACGTATATCACATTCAATTAATTTTCTCAATTTACATATATATGTTCACAGTTACTGAACATATATATGAATGAGTTATAAAGAGATATGAATAGATTGAAAGTATGTGTATATGAAAAGCATACATGATAGTGTAATTGTCTAATGCATATATTAATAGAAATTCAACAATCATATTAAATCCAAGAAAATAAAATGGTATCGGGTTCATCGGGTTGGGTTGGGTTGGGTTCAAATAATAGTAACCCAATATCAACCAAATACCTACGGTTTGACAATTTTACAACTCGATTAGACATCGGGTTGCTTCGGGTTGGGTTATTTCGCGTTGGGTTGGGTTGGGTTGATCGGGTTAAACGGGTTGGTCGGGTTTTTGAGCACCCCTACGCACCGCCCCCATATCAAAGCCCTAAATTTAGGGGCTGTTTGACAATTGTTAAATGTTTTGGTACAAAATGATTAAATGACTCTCATAATATAGTGTAAAATAAAATATAATTATTTAATAATTATGTCCAATAAAATTAGAGCTTTTAGTAAAGGAGTTTCACGATACAAAATCATTCAGGAAGGTTTATACAATTTAAAGATTACCCTCTTGGCGATTTCGTCTGTTGATAAAACCGTTAAAAGTAAAAAAAAATACCTCTTGGACCCATCGTAGACCCAAGTTGAATCCTCCCTTTCTCTCAGATCACCTTCAACGATGTCTTTAATCGTAAAATCTTATATTCATCAGTGATTTCATCAATCAAATCTTTTTAAGTCGTTTATCGAATTCAATCTGCTTGCATGATTTTACATATACACTAAAATTTCAATTTGTAATTCATAATCTTTATACATCTTCTCATCTAATTTTGTTAAATTAATATCCGAATTTTCTTTTGGGAATCAACCAAATCGCCTGAGAAAAGTTATTTTGCATCTCAAGTTCGTGCCAAGACTTTGGAGGTTCGTACTCTTGATCTTTTAAACAGCTGAGCTAGGGTTTTGTCTCTATGTTTATTTTTATGTTTGCTTGCAAATCCATGAAAAATGTAGGTGTGAAGACGGGTTGTTTCATGTTTTTCTTGAACAGGAGGATGCTTGTGGCAATATGATGAATCAAGGAGTGGACGGCACCATAACCGCATTGGACCCAAATTCAGTCGAGGTATTTTCTATTTCTAACGCGCAGACACAATTTTTTTTTTGTTTGTTTTTTATTATGTTTTTAGTATGTATATATATAACTGTTTCTGAGACTTATAGTTGATTGATTCTGTTTTTTTTGCGTTTTTATTCTATTTTTACGAATGTTAACATGTTATCCAATTCGTAATATTTGATTTCAGATGGTAACTGTAAGGATACGGAGTAGATTCGTCTCAGTTCAATAGTATAGCCTTGGTTTTGATGAATTAAGTAATTTTGTGGATCACTGATTAGCACCCCGTCCTTTAAGTTTTAGTATTTGTAAGGTGGGGTGATATCGGACATAAATCAAGAAAGGAAAGGATCCATGCAAAATTTTCACTAGTTTGACTGTTGGTCAGTCAGTTGAGGTCATACAGTATGAATGCATGATGGGCTACTGTCTTAATGTTTTGTAACTTGGAAGGTATAGCTGTATCAGATTGCAAATGCACAGCATCATCACCGTGCCTTCATCCATAGGTCCAGATGGAGGACATTGGAACTAGTTTCAGTTGTCATAGTGAAAGTGAGTAGAAGGTTTCAACAAGGTCCCCTTTCCCATTGTTATCAAAGAGACCTAATCATCCACATGGTAGTACATGGTCAAAGAATTACACTTGCTATCCTGTTCTAAGATTATAATACAGCAGTGATCATTAGAAGGAAGAGCCAACAAAATAGGAACAACCATATGCTACACAACTTACACTGCAATATCAGCAATGTAGAGAAAACTGGTCATTTCATCTGCTGAGTAGACCTTTATGCACCTATGGCGATGTCTATTTTCCAGTAATCAGTTTTGGCTGATTACGTGCTGAAGTCCAATGAAAGCTACTAGCTTGTAAAGCACCTGTGCTTTCCAAACAAGGAAGATAATGTTGAAGTAGGATGTATGGTCTAAATGAAAACAATCATCTTGTAGCTCGTTGCTGTTGTAGGAATAACTATGTTAGAGGTGTTTGAGGGATAAACTGGCAACAATTTGTAGATTTAAGTCAGGATATTGCCTACCCTGCAAGCAAAACTTGGATTGTTCATTCGTAAGGCTGTTTGTAAAATCGAAGATTACTCATTGCTCTTGTATAATAGATAGAATTTCGGGCAGGTTTTAGTAAAAAAGTTATGTCAGCTTATATTACTTAAATCTGCACTTGGTAACATTAAGTTACAGGTTTTACTATCCTTGAAGAAACAACAGAGCTTTTTTTACTAACTTCGTTGAAGAGCCACAATGTGTTATAGATGGTATAGTTAGATGCCCTTTCTGCAACTATTTTCTTTGAACAAGTATTTGATTGCTAGCCGGCTTCCGGCTTATGTTCTTTGCTTTCTCGTATATATCACCATTTTCCCACAGAATTGAATTGTTTACTTTGATGGAATTGATTTGTTGTCATATCATTGTATTTCAACTAAGTTATTTTCTTTCTTAATATTTGTAAGCGTCTTGCCGTTGATCCAAGTCGTGGGCAAGCACCTTCATATTATGTTCCATCTACTGGCTCTGAAGCTGTATCCTGGACAACCCATGGAGCTGCTAATGGCTCTATTCAGAATGGCATTGATTCCAGTTCCAGCATCAACCATGATCAATATGCGGAACCTCACTTGAAAAACATTCAGGATGGAGTGACTGCGATGTCTGCTGCCTCCACTTCAAATTCTGGGACAGCTAATGTACCACAAGAATATGCCAGCTATGCGGCATACCCAGGTGCTGATACATATGGATATGGAAGCACAGCATATGCAGGTTACAATGGTGGCTATCGGCAGCAACCAAATCAATCATACCCTCAGCAGCAGTCCAATCAATCATATCCTCAGTCTGCAGGAGCATATCAAAGCACAGGTGCTCCTCATCAGCCTATTTCCTCATTACAGAATACAGGGTCCTATGATGGGTCTTCCAGTTACTCAACCACTTACTACAATCCTGCTGATTATCAGACATCTGGTGATTATGCGGCTGGGACTTACAGTAATCAGATAAACTTGTGGAATCAAGGAGGCTATGCAAGTTATGGGCATCAGTATCCAAGCTACCCTGCAGAAACTAACGGTGCTTATACCGCTCCCAGTGCTGCTGCAATACCTCTCCAATATCAACAAGAGCACAGACAATGGGCAGACTATTACAGCCAAACAGAGGTTTGCTGTGCTCCTGGTACGGAAAACACATCTGCTACTAGCAAATCTAGTCTGGGCTGTCCCGTTCCTGCTGTTACCAGCGTGTATTCTGCTCCAACCAACCAGCAGGTGGCATCCTCTGCCCCAACATATTGGGTTCCAGAACCCAGCACATTGGATGTGCCTTCAGTACAGGTTTGGGGATCACCTTTACCAACTTAGTGAAATAACCGTATGATGTCTCTCATTTTATGCTCTCAAATGGATTCAGTAACAGGGCGCACTCATCCTTATGCCTTAATATACTATTATTCTAAATTCCTGTGTAACGTAACTAAATGATACAAAGCAGGTATCCAGCAACAGGTCTGACTTGCCCTGCACCCGGATATTGTATTTTCTTGCTAATCTTATTGCTCTTCTATCATATTGAAAATGTTCATCAGGATCTGTGTATCTTTAGAAGTAAGAGGTTAGTTATAACATACTATTATATTGTCTTTGAGCATTAAAATGTGTTTTTGCCTTCCCTTATGAGTATGTTCAACCTTGAAAGGTACAAATATGCGGATAATTTTATCCGCGGCTTTGATCATAAATGTAGAATTAATTAAGTAGACGTAATCTAAGGGAGTCGGGTGCCTAATGACTTAAAAAGAGAGTCTGGTGCCTAATCTAGATGTAATCGATGATGACAGTTTTCCCATATACATGCTTGTAATGTTCAATTTCTCTAATTTTCGTATTTGAATAGATACCTCAAACTATGTTATACCTGTGTTGAATGACTTGGAATGTTGGTGTTACCATCCTCGAGTTCGAACTGCCTTGCCAATTTGTTGTTCAAGTATAATAGGCTGGAAGTCAGCGTAATAGTTTTTAAAACTATTTTCAGAGTATGTGTTAGATATTTTCCTGCTTAACCAAAATTGTCTGCGTTTTCTGTGCAACTGTTTTGTGTTTAATACTTTAATTTCAAATACTGTTAGCTTCATGTAAATGCAAACTCCTTTTCAATATGTTATACCTATTACCTTTTAGAAATCTGAAAAAAATTGATTTTTTCACGTTACGAGGTCAAAAGTTTCTTTATTAATGTACTTAAGAATGACGATGAGCAACCATTCTTGTCTGTACTCATTTGGAAACAGTTTGATACTGAGTTATAATCTTGATAATTCAAAATTAGGTTTTCAAATGGTTAGTATTAGAATCCCAGTTGTGTTAGATTCAGAATTAGTTCTGCACTGTGATTAGTTTGCTGGTTTGAAGACTATATCTAATTATCTATATATCTGATATGCTATTCTACTGAGTCAGGCCTTTGGATCCTAATTGTAATATGGTATTAGCGATCTAGGAGTACTGGAGAGCCAATTTTCTTGTCTGTGCTTGTCGTTGTACCCCGAGCTTCAGACTTTATTTTGTCTCTTTAGTTTCTATATGGTTCTGCTACTGTCATCTAGATTTGTCTAGTTACATTTCCAAGAATGGTCTTCCAAGATCACCAGGTTCGCCACAATCTTTAATTTTGATCATACTTGTTTTGACCAATCTGTGATTTGTTAATTTCGTCTTTTATTCATAATTTTAGAAACTCGGGGGTTAGAGTTGCAAATTCCAAAAAGATGAGGACCTATTTTGTAGTTTTCAGGATTTTCGGGGACCATTTTTGCAAAAAATTGCGAAATTAAGGACTATTTTGCAGAACCAAAGAATTCAATAACTATTATGGAAATCCATATGGCTGTTTTTTAGCAAATTGATTTGAAGATAGCTTTGTATTTAATTACTTGATGCCTTAATTGATATTTGAATTCATGAAACGAAAGTATGGGATGATACTTATACTTGTGTTCCCGGAGCTGCCAAACTCGAAATAGATACGACTGAATCTCCAGAAGAGGAAAATGTTAAATGGATGATGATAAATGCCGTGGAGGGAAAAATGACATTCAATATATGGCTAAATTTTGGAATTTCACAAGATTGAGCATATTGATTTTGTGTATTTTGATCGCTTTATGGGTCATCGATGAAATTAATGCTGCTCTCATTGTTGTAAGGTAAGTTTATGCACAACAACACATTGTTCTTTTTTAAGCCTTGAGTGATGCAAGAACTTTCATGGTTTGTTATTCCCCGTCACTAAGAACCTTGAGGATAATCTTTGCAATGAATGAGAGAATGATGGGGAAGACAAGGAAATTTAGGAAATTCTAAGAAACCGATATTTGGGAACTATGCATGATTATTTAAAGCTAGATTTGTATATACTTATTTTACAGGAATAATGGGGGGCGGGATTGGGATCTTAGTGTTTAAATCAAGTATTTTGGAGATTTAATGTTAGTGGGAAAGTATTTAGTTGCACATTATTTAGTAAATTCCAATGACTAGGCTAATTATATTTTCGTATTTTATATTATTATCAAGTGTTTGTTGTCTTTATATAACTGTTTAAATTGTAACTGTTGATTTGGGTCGTGTATTCTAGTTTTGGTTGGTTTTGACTACTACAATATTCTATGGTTTTACGTATATTGATAGTATGATCTATAATCTTATTTGTGGTTGGGATCTTTGCTCTTACGGTTCAACGTTCTTTTCTTTTCTCATCTATTCTATTACCTTTCTCTACTAGGTCTCACATCACTAGCCATTCAATATAGTTCGATTCAGAGATTTGCACCAAGGGTTTGGACACAATATTATCCCTGAGACTCGCAACATATTTTGCTACTTCTGTCATTTGGTTGTTCTTCTCTTTCCAAAAGATCCCCTTGTTGGTATTTGTGGTAGTCTACATTGTGTGTTAACTTGGAGCATCTTCTGTTGCCATCGACATTGACCGCTAGTTTGCAGTATCCCTATTAAAACTAATACAACATTGTTTTTAAATATTTGTCTATGCTAGAGAGGGGAGAAGATATAGACGGAGTTGACTAGAGGTTGCAAAATGATTGAGTTTTGATCTTGGTCGTGTAGGATAAAGTCAGAAAGTAGAACTATTAAGTATGAATCATTTCCAATAATCATTTCCTTTTTTTTTTTTTGATAAAGATGATAATGTTACTGTTGATCCTTTCATTAATGGATTCTTCTCACACTCAAAATCTCGAGAGCATGGAGAGCCAATTCTGTAACACCTACACCAACAATTTTTTAAGTATTGTATATGTCATACAAACGATCTTTTGTAGGAACTATCCATGATAGAACTAGTGAAACATATTTGTTTATCCAATACTTTGATTTTGGTAGTTAATTGTTGTTTTGGTCCACGAGTCAAGTAAGATAGATCATTTATCTGGAAGAACCAAAGAGGATTTCTGTATCCTTCTATGCAGTGCATCTTATATGCTACCTCATAGGAATAAAGGATAACTGAATTGCTTACAAAGAATATCTTCTATTCCTTCATTTTTTTATTGTTAGAATCATGGGAACTGGTAGTAGAAGGTTTTCGGGTCACAGAATATGTTAGAAGGTTTTAATTATAGGTAATGCGTTCTATCATTCACTTCACTTGGCATTCCTTAGCGGAAATAAACATGAGAGAAAGAGTTTTGTGTTCCACTAAGATCAAGTAGTGTTATGTCATCAAGTTGATTATGGTTTTCCTCAATGTACATATACTATGGCGGGCTTTGAGGTATCAAGGGATCTTTCAGGAAAAATAGCATAAACAAACGAAAGACTTATTATAATTTCAATTTTGTTTATATATGGTGATAATTGCTAAAGAGAACAAAAAAGTCCATTTTACAAACTTAATGTCTATATATCTACGAGTCTATAAATTCATTTTGAAAAGTGAAACCTTCCTCAACTGTTAAGAACTAAAAACATTTTACATTTGTGCCAAATAGATGGGACAAACAAGGGATTTATGACAATAATTTTGTAATATGATTATGTTTAACCAATTGAGCTTCTATAGTAGTTGGAGCTGTACTGACTTGGAAAGGAACCCTCCAAGCACATTTTAAGGAATTGTAGCCAAGATCAGACTTCATGAGAGTAGTATCAAAATCTTTCCAGCATGCTAGGGCTAACTTTTTCTATTTCGGTTACGCTTTCTCTTTGATATATGGTGGATAGATTGAACATGAAATACTAATGGTCTTACCAATACGCATATGCATAACTCCCAATGATGCTTATTTTCATCATTGTACAAAATCTCCTAACCCCTTCACATATAAATGGATTCCTTACGAAAGTAAAATCATTGTTACTTTGGTAGGGCATTTAAAAGTTGTACTAGTTCCGTTATCCCTGTTCCATAAGTAGGGTTACGTCGTATGTTTATAAGTTATTCTAATCTGGCCCAATTCCCAACAGCCCACCGTCTACCCCATATTTTCAGCCTTCTTTGAGTGATAATAGACATCACACTACAACGCCATGTCTTTATATGGTATAAGAGCTATAACTGTGACTACCTCAGTATGAAATATCCTATTCCCACAAAAAAAAGTAAGCCAAGATGCCGCTGTCAGCCGCATCTCGGTAGTGTTGCTGTTCCTATGAATCGTTGATGGTTGTCAGAAACTGGTACCTGTTGATCCGGCTTGTATCTCAAGTATCTATTGCATAGTTGCTGATGATTCTGCCCTGTTTTGCTGCTGAATTATTGTTGATTCTTCCATGATATACAGCTCATATAATTGCTGATGCTGCCTTGATTTACCGTCGCTTCTTCTCTGATTGACTGCTGATTCCTTGCTGTTTTCTAATTCTTACCGATTTTAGAACCTTTAAATATTTGTTTCACGTATGGGCTGTTGATTTATCTGTGACCCTGTGGACTACTTTAGCCAAAAAGCATATGCTACAGTGTTCAGAAAAAAGAAAGAGAAATCGACCCATTGGTGTTCTTTATGAGCCAATTGTGTGCAAATCAAGTTATGACATTTCAATCACATTTGAGTTCCTGATGTGGTTTGGATTGTCTTTCGATAAAAAAGATGTGCGTATAACCGGTTCCCCCAAGTTGACAAGTAATGGTGTAATGGATATGTATGCTGTTCTATGTTTTTCAGTGGACGAATTCTTGCTAAGATAAAGCCGTATGTGTTTTGATCACGGACTAAAAGAAGTCCTTTTGTTGTCAGCCTAATGAAGTAATTACCAATGTCCATGATGAACACTGGAAACATGGGCGTCAAGGTTTTCAAAATTATCATGCTAATTCCCTGCAGCCCAACATCCAGAAGTCGCTAGATTTGAATTCTGCTCCTGTAAGCTTTCAGGATTACCAAAAGCCTGAATACCCTCATGGACCAGGTTTACAGTATTCAGCTACTCATCAGGTGCCCCAGGATTATCAACCACCTGTACAGGCCGCTCCGCAAACTGCTGTACCTTTTGATTCAGGCAGGGTAAGCAAAGTGAATATTCCAACAAACCCCAGAATTGCTTCAAATTTTCCAATGGTCTTGCCCAGAAATGATAAGCCTGCAATGGGTGGAGCAACAGAACCGGCTTATGTCAGTGTCTCAGTACCAAAGCCTAATGATGAAGTGCCATTGCATGTTGCTGGTGATTCTGTGCTTAAGGTAATCCTACTCCACTTGTAGGAGTTTCTTCTATATAGGCAAATTTTTTAGTTTTAGAGTACAGTCTACCTACTTTCAAACTTCACTGGCAGCAAGTTTTTTAGTCGTTTTTTTTTTGTTTTACATGTTAAAAGATTTGCTAAATTACTGGCATTAAGTCTTTACTCGTTATATTTTTAGAATTCCTTGGATTTGATTTCTTGAGCCTACCTAACGTTCCAGATGATGTCTTATGCCTATCTTGTTTCAGTTTGTGTTCTGTGACTGATAATATTGTAGAATAGTTACTAGAACTTGTGTTACTTGCAGCCTGGTGTGCTGCCCAAGTCACTACGTGGATATGTAGAAAGAGCTTTGGCTCGTTGTGAGGATGACAGACAGATGGCAGCTTGTCAAGATGTCCTGAAGGAGGTAAATTGTTCGGTTAGAACTTGCTAATTTCTGGCCAAGTATGGTGGACATCATCTTTCTGCTTCATGTTTGAGTACAAACACCACCTATTATATCCTTGTCTAGGCATAACAGATGTAATTCTGTAGGTGGCTTCAGATCCCTTTTGACCAAATACTCAAAGTTGCTATTTAAGCATGCTTAATGTTGCTACAATTCTGCTTACATTATGCTCTGTAGACCCATTGACTCAAAGGAGGTGATGAAAAGACCTTCTCTCTGGCCCCCTTTTCTTGCAGATTTCGGAGAGAGTGCATATTGTAAGGAGTTTTGATTGTCAGTTTATTTGAAGAAAGGAAAAGCAAGTGATTCGCTCCTTGAATGGTTGCTTCATGTTTTCATGAAGTTCAAAACACTTTTGGTCAACTAATGATGATATTTTTGCAATAGTTGATTCTATTACTTGCTAAAGGATCACAATGTTTACAAAACTAGTAGAATTAGTTAGTTTACATTTACAACACAGTGCTAAAAGGATGTGTGCATACGAGGAACCTTTGAACAAACATGTGATGTCACATTATTGGATTATCGTTTATGCATATCTGAGCTAGAAACTCAGTAGATTGAATGAATTCTCTTAAAAGGAGTATTAATATCCATGTTCCCCACAAAAATAAGCACCAGCACCCCAGTTTAAAGCTGATGTTACCAGCACCTACCACCCCAATGGGAGTTTCCCAGAATGGTACTAACATGAGGGAAATGTCCTTCACTTGAAAATTAGAATTCTATCCAACGTCTAGTTAGTGAGCTCTTTATTTTGGCTAAGTCATACCTTCTGTGCGTGGTGTAAGGCTCATAACAATGTCTGTGCTACAAACCTTTGTACCAGGCTTGTCAATAAAACCTGCCCTCTTGCTCAGAAATTGCTTGGCTAAGGTGATATTGGTATAATATATTTGACATCTTTATCAGGTCAAATGTTCTGCTAGGGGTTCTTTCATTTATTGCAATCTTAGTCATCTTGTAGTAATTGGCCTCACTGGGAAATTGGATATGCTTTTGTACACAAAGATGCAGAGAAGCTGAATGTAGGCACTGATTTGAAAATTAAGTTTTTTCTTATAGGAAGATAGTTGCCTTCTCTCTCGATGGGTGTGGGGGACATAGAGGGTACTTAGATATATTTTGTTGGTTACTTTTGTTGTTGCTTATGTAACTAACCACATGCTTTTTGGATGGTATTTAACCTTAGTACTTCTATTTGTTTATTTCAGGTCATTAAAAAGGCAAATGCTGATGGTACTCTTTTGACACGAGATTGGGACACCGAGCCTCTTTTCCCATTTCCTAACAAGGGTGTGGTTAATAATGAGTATGCTGCTTCCCTTAATGGATAGACCGATATGTATATATTTGGTCACTGATTTGCATCTTTATAACTTCACTTCACACATGTTCATGCAATTACATGGATGTAAGGATAATAGATTTTACATCCCATTCTACATTTTCTGCCATGGGGGTTGGGGTAAAAGATTGAGTGGTCTAGCCTCTCTATTACAAATAAAAGAGGTTGCTTTTGACTTTGAGGGGGAGCTTATTACACCCAAGTTCGAAGCCACTTGTGAAGCTTTTGCCAATTTAACACCAACTATTCTATTTGTAGTATTTCTTAGACACCTGATGTAGATTATCTACATTGAAGTCGAAAGGAAACCACCTGACCTCGTAAGTCAAGTCGTATCTTTTTTTCTTTTTAGAGCAAGGGGAGTGAGTATTATTCATGGTCCATGTTGATCATAAACATTGATGCAGAAGGTCAAATCATTTTGGGCACATAGAGTAGGTATATTGCATCTGATTCACTTAGGAGTGCCACATCATTATCCTTGACGTGCTTGATATGTGGACCTGCTTCATTAGCTTGCTTTTGCATGTTCTTATGAAGATCTTGTTATATGTTTCAGTAAGTTAATAGGTTAACTATTATTCATCATTCATATCTATCTACGTAGGATAAAATATCTCATAAGATGCAAGAGTTTAGCATCTTTGTTTGCAATAATGGTCGCCATCCTTTGGCCGGCATTGATTGCTTTTTTCTTCTTCCAAGAAATTGCGAGTGTTATTGTTATTTAGACATGACAAGTTTTCATTCTTGTTGATCAATTTTCAATTATTTCTCACAGTCCTTTGAATCATTTAACTCCTGTCTCATCACTGCTGAAGAATAGAAGTCCAAACAGGCGTACAAAAAGTAGGTGGGAGCCATTACCGGAGGAGAAACTGCGCGAGAAACAAATAACTTCTACTCCTGAAAGTTTAAAATCTAGTGGGGCCATTCATCACAATGAAACGAACCATCAGGTTTGTCCTTTTCTGTATGCTGCCCATATAGTCCTTCATTCTGCAATGCATCCCGAGCTTATCAAGGCTTTCTCTCGTTCAAAAGGTAGTCTTGAAATACTCCTGGACACTTGCTGTTTGGAGTTCAAGATACCATCATCTCAAGATGGAATGAATTGTCAAGCTAACATGTATGGGAAAAAAATTCATATTTGAAGATCACCCTTCAATCAATTGATGTTGAATGTAGGGCTTTTTAATTAATTTTACATATGTTTCATTTAATGCTTGGACTTTGTAAATATTGTTTTTGGAGTTTTGGTAAATTTTCCATGCCAACAATGATTTATCCTCTTCGATATCAGTAATTACACAAAGGAGAGTAAGATGTGAAATGGCATCTCAAATGCTTTCTATTTTGATTCGTATCCTTTACAACGCTATTATGTTTTACTTGCAGTTTTCAGCAGGAATGCCACGGACCAAGGAGAATAAGTTTGGCAATCAAAAATTCTATGTACCAAATCAGAAAGCAACAAACAGAACTTCTTTCAGGCCAGCTAAGAGGCAGCGTGTCGGTGATGGTGTGGGTGGATCCAATAATGGTGATTCATCCAGTGACAGTGATAAAGAGCAAAGTCTGACTACATATTATGCTGGTGCATTTTCAGTTGCAGATTCACCTGAGGAAAAAAAGAGACGTGAAAGCCGCTCAAAACGTTTTGAAAATAATCATGTCAAACGGTCAGCAAATAGTCATATGCAACCCAAAAAAGTTGGAGATGGGAACTTTTACACTAGAAGGGCATCTGCTCTAGCAATTAGTAAAATCATTGATGATGGTGCTGGCAGGGCTGTTGAGGATATTGACTGGGATGCTCTTACTGTTACAGGAACTTGCCAGGAAATCGAGAAACGCTACTTGCGCCTCACTTCTGCTCCAGATCCTGCCACAGTAAGTTTTTTGCTTTTTATGTTGTTCGACTTATGTTGTAATATGGGGGAACACAATAAATTATTGTCTTATCATGAAGAAGGAGAAAAACGAATAATTTCTTTTGAACCCATATCTTGAATTGATTCTCTTGCAGGTAAGACCTGAAGAAGTATTAGAAAAAGCATTGGTTTTTGTTCAAAGTTCTCAAAGGAACTACCTTTATAAGTGTGACCAGTTAAAATCTATCCGCCAAGATCTTACAGTACAACGGATACGCAATGAGCTGACTGCCAAGGTATACTTTCTTTTGTTGTATCTGTTGGTGTCTATGTTTACTTCCCTTTGATAAAAGGCTTCTTCTTGTATCTTATCATACAGTCTATGAAACATACTTCCTTATGCTAAACTTCTTCAATGTGGTTTTCATATGTAACTTTCAGGTCTATGAAACTCATGCTCGATTAGCAATAGAAGTTGGAGACCTATCAGAATACAATCAGGTTTGTATCCGACCTAGTTCTAGTTTCTTTACTTCTGATGCTCAGATTATTGGTTTGGCACTTCTATGAATTCAGTGATGTTTATTATTGCTGTAGTCGATTTATGGCTGTATAACTGCAATTGTCCTGTAGCAGTTCAATGCAGTTAGTACTCTTTCAATACATGTGGAAATAATAGAAATTTATGTAAATAGGGGCCCTTTAGCAATATGGTTTTCAAGAAATAAACAGTTAGGAGATCGGGTCAGAAGGGCCGCCAAAGCGAACCACCCCAAACTGTTATATGACACTCCCTTCGTCCCGAAATAAGTGCACATTTCAATTTTAGTTTGTCTCAAAATAATTGTTCATTTTTAAAGGTAAGTGTCTACTTTCCCATTCTACCATTAATTATGAGATGGAGATTTTTTTCTCTATTATTAAGGGTAAAAGTGTCATTTAGTTAACCAAAAAGTATCATAATTACACATTTCTAAAATTGTATCTTTTTCATTGTGGACATTTATTTTTGAACGGAGGGAGTAGCATTTCTGATTTTTGCCCCATACTTGATTGAATCAATTGTTAACCAGTCAACCTGTAGATGCCAGAGTCTGCCATCTTATCATTTTAAAAGCATAACAGGTTGTTTGTAGATTGTGTATCAAGACCTTAATATTACTGCACTGAATATCTTGTATTTGAAATTACAACTTCTTTTTTTTGTTGTGGAATGAAAGTATTGAATACAAGTTCCCTTTGTTTATTTTTTTTTTAATTTTTATGTGACAAAACTTTGTTCATTCTTTTTGCAGTGTCAGTCACAGTTACAGACTCTGTATGCTGAAGGAATTAGGGGATGTCATATGGAATTTTCCGCGTACAATCTGCTCTGTACTATTTTGCACTCAAATAATAATAGAGATCTCCTATCAATGATGTCTAGGTTTGTAGCAAGATGATCATCCTGACTTCATCCTTTTTTTTCTGTCCAATAGGTTTCCTGTTACCTCTTCACCATAGTTATACTTTAATTATTTCCTACAGTTCAATTTTTTTGGCCAAGTCCAACTTGTTCTTGAGAAAGCCATTGTTGAATCAATTATTCATCAAACTCTTAAGGCCTAATTGTTCAAAAACATTTACTTCAATCTTTTTTTTTCCATCTCTGAACAAACTGAAACCAGATGCGGCACATTTTCAGTTTTGATTCACATGGACCTTTTTGTGCCTACCATTGTAGCAATTTATTGGTATTGACGTTTCCAATTTTCTTTTATTTGATCAAGAAAACTTCCATGTACCATTCTAATGGATGAATATTGAAGCAATTTTCTGTTGACTCTTTAGATTATCAGTTGAAACAAGGAAAGATGATGCTGTCAAACATGCTCTTGCAGTTCGTGCAGCCGTGACGTCTGGGAATTACGTCATGTTCTTCAGATTACACAAGACTGCTCCCAACCTGAATACTTGCCTCATGGGTGAGTGTAAAATTTATTCAACTGGACAAGGTCAATAAACATAAATGCGGTTTCAGTATTTTACATATTTGCATTGTCGTGGTGCAGATCTTTATGTTGAGAAGATGAGGTATGCAGCTGTGAAATGCATGACTCGTTCTTATCGTCCTACACTTCCAGTATCTTATGTAGCTCAGATCATGGGGTTCCCAATAGCTGATGACAAAGAAAAAGAAGGGTTGGAAGAGTGCATAGAATGGTTAAAGGCTCATGGTGCATGCCTTTCTTCAGACAATTCTGGAGAAATGATGCTTGATGCTAAGGTATCTTCCACTTCTTTTTGAAGTATATAATATTTATAAATGATAAATACTCTCTCACACACACACCTCACTTTTGCCGAGGCTTGAACCATTGACGTCTAGGGAAGTTAGGCTCTACCAGTAACCCGAGTACTGCTAGGCCAATTAACCTTTGTTGTATCCTCCACTTCTTGATGGATTCAATATCCTATTTGCAGGCTAAAGTCATAGTCTAAATTTTGCATGAATTAAACTTGATCAGTTGGTTGTGTGAATGGTTTTCGTCCCTGTGCAACTGAATAGGGGAGTTTTTCGTATGTGCAGGCATCGTTGGCATCCCTTTTCATGCCAGAACCAGATGATGCAGTAGCCCATGGAGATGCGAGTCTAGCTGTTAACGACTTTTTGACGCGTTCGTCATCATGACCAACCATTTGGGAATTCTAATTTGCTATAAGAAGGAACATAACAGATACTGGGGAACCAACCTGAAACTTATTATGCATCCAGAAAAGGGATATATTGAAAATGATATAGAGGGTCATTTTGTTTGTAGGTGGTGATGATGGTTAATGTAAATGGTAGATCATCTAATTTTGGTGTCATAACTCAGTTGTTTCAACGAAGAAGCTTGTAAATGAAACCCTCCCTTTGTCACACTAATAATACATTTGGAAAATGGAGTCTAAATTTATTTCATAATCTGTGTCATCATCTCATATGTTGTTACTCTCTCTTATTTTTACAAATAATATGATTGTTTAAAAAACAAAATATTTTAATACAAGTATTCCAAATCATCCACGTCTGAGTATTCCGGTTAACCGGAGGCCGATGGTGGCCAAACGCTGACCTTTTCCTTTTCAACCTTACAATATAAGGCCGTCATGGCCGCCACAAAATACACCTGAATAAATATTATCGACGGTGTATGGTATTTTATCACACTCTCTCCCGTCGCCAGCTCCACCAACACCAACGCCGACAACCCAAGAGCCGCCACCCGCCCATTGATCCTCTCTGAATACGGGCTGAACCCGAAATCCACCTTCAGTCCACCCGACATCGGCTCCTTCAAAGGCACCGGCGGGAGGTATATGTTTGCTCCAGATCCAGAACTCCCGCCGGGTTTCTTCCCAGACTTCTTGCTCTTCCGGGCGTCGGCTTTCTTCCCTGTGCCACTCCGGTAACGCAGCCGGACCTGCGAGAGACGGTCATCGAAGCTCTCAGTCTCTGATGATTCAGAGGTGGGAGAGGGATCGTCTTCGGAGGTTGCTTTGGTGGTGAAGGATAGAGTGAGGAGCCGCGGCGCGTGAGGTCTGAGTGGTGAAAGAGGGAGTGGCGATGAGAAGAGAGGGTTTGAGGTCGCCATTGTCGATTGAAGCTTTCCTTGATGTGTGGTTGCTTCAGGAGTACCGAGTGGATAAGAGGTGTTATTTGCACCTTTTTTTCATTTTTTATTATTTATATATATATATATATATATATATATATTCATTTAAAATTTTCTCATTTTTCATACTATAAACGTACTAGCACAATGCAACGAGATACATCGTGATTTTAATATTTCATTTTATTCTTTATCTCAATCGATATTATAATATGACTTTATGTGATTTTGAGAAAGCGATGATGTTTTTATTTTTGAATAAAATATATGTTTGAAGATATCATAAAAATTTGACAAAAATATATCGACATTAATATCAAATTAACTATTTGAAATTTCTCATTTTTTGTGTAATTTTTTAATTCAATTTTTTTATAATTTAATTTATGTATAATAACAAAATAATTTATATTTAGTTTAATAATATAATTTTTTTATAACGATAATAATTATTTATTTTGTTGAAACTCGATAATTATTCTAATTATATTTTAGATTTTTTATATTTTAAAATGAGATGTTCATYCTCTATTTGATTATGTTTATCCGCAGTTATTTATACGAATTCAAACATCGAGCTTTAATAAGTTGTACTTATGCATAATTACTTGTAATCTTAAATTTTAAGTAATATGCATCAATATACAGTACTTTATGCATAACAAAAATATATCGATATTCGTATCAAATTAACTATTTAAAATTCCTTCAATTTTTTATTATAATTTAATTTAGGTACAATAACGAAGTAATTTATATTTGGTTTAATGATATAATTTTCTTATAAAGATAATAATTAATTATTTTGTTAGAACTCGATAATTATCCTAATTATATTTTATATTTTTTATATTTTAAAGTAAGATGTTTATCCTCTATTTGATTATATTTATCTGCAATTAGTTATACGAATTCAAAAATCGAGCTTTAAGAAGTTGTACTTTTGCATAATTTACTTGTAATCTTGAATTTTAAGTAAACATTGGTTTTATGTGGTTTTGAGAAAGTGATAATATTTTTATTTTTGAATAAAATATAAATTTAAAAATATCATAAAATTTTGAAAAAAAATATTGATATCAGTATTAAATTAATATTTTTAAAAGTTTTTGTGTTTTGGTGTAATTTTCTTAATTAAATTTTGTTAGTTAACAATGATTATCATAATTATATTTTAGATTTTTTATATTTAAAATGAGATATTTATCCAATATTTGATTATTTTTATCTGCAGTTAGTTAGACGAATTCAAGTATGGAGTTTTAATAAGTTGTACTTACGCACAATCTACTTGTAATCTTGAGTTTTAAGTAATATGCATTAATAAACAGTAATTTACGCATAAAAAGTAGTTTTTAAGAGTTTTTGTCAAATGCTTTATAATATAGTATAGATTTTTTTATAACTTAATTTAAGTTTAATAATGAAATAATTTATTTTTGGTTTAATAATATAACGTTTTATCTATACTATCTTATTAAACAAATTTAACAAAAGTCTTAAAGTCTTAAAATATTAAATGACCAAAATACCCTTTATACTCACTTTTTCACTTTTCACCCCCTCCTCTCCTCACATACACTCACCCCCTCACATACACTCACCCTTTCACAACCGATTTTTTTTAAAAATTATTATTTTAAATTTACACTTTATACCCCTATAATTAATTAATTAATTAATTTACTTTATATCTTTTACATTTAAATGTTTCATTTTAAACATTTATCAAATTAACATACATAATCGTATATCAATTAAATCATGTTTAAAAAATACATTTTTATTTTAACATGTTACACCATTATAATCGTCTCGTTAATAACTTCGAAATGAGTCCAATATTAAATAGTTTTTTACTTAATTATATTATTATATATACTGTGAATTAATAATTTTAATATTTACGATTTATACTTTTATAGTTATTTATTTATATATATACTATATATTTTGGGGTTAGGCTGTCTAAATTGCACTGTATAATATGTTTTGAATTAATATGTTCTTGGGATTTTTTTGAAATATATATATATACATGTATTAATTCAACCTTAATCTGAGTTTCTGGATAAGAAAGAGGGTAAGCAGTCGAAATTTCATTTTAAAACCCATTTTTTTTTTGTCTTTTCATAGCTTATAATCTGTCAAATTTGTAGTTTTCTTTATTGGTTTTGAGTGTTTATCTTAAAACTCAAGCTTCTTGGTTCTTTGCTCTTGATGTAAATCGAATACATTTGTGGAATCATTTAAATATGTTGGATTTTAAATATATTGGATTTTAAACTGTCATACAATTTTTTTCATCGATAGTCTGTAATTGGAACCATAACTCTTATTTATTCAAATTGTATTAATATGTAAAGACCAAATGTAACATATATCATCGTTAAGTATTATCTTATAAAACCAGTGGAACTTCAAAATCGTTAAAATTCATGGCTCCCGCCGCATTGCGCGGGTACACAACTAGTAAAAATAATAATTAGTATTTTGTTATAACTCAATGATTATCCTAATTATATTTTAGATTTTTTATATTTAAAATTAGATGTTTATCTTGTATTTGATTGTGTTTATCTGCAGTTACTTACACGAATTCAGATATGTAGCTTTAATAAGTTGTACTTACGCACAATTTACTTGTAATCTTGAGTTTTAAGTAATATGCATTAATAAACAGTATTTTACGCATAAAAAAATGGTTTTTAAGAGTTTTTGTCAAATGATTTATAATATATAATATATATATTTTTTATAAATAATTTAATTCAAGTTTAATAATAAAACAATTTATTTTTGGTTTAATATTATAAATTTTATAAAGATAATAATTAAGTATTATGTTATACCAATTATATTTTAGACTTTTTATATTTAAAATGTGATGTTTATGTTGTATTTGATTGTGTTTATCTGCAGTTAGTTACACGAATTTAGATATGGGATGAAATCTGATAGGGATGAAATCGTTTAGGGATGAACAGGTTTAAGAGTTTTTAAATTTTTTAACCAAATGCTTTATAAGATAGTATAGATATGTTTTTATTTGATTTTAATAAATAAAATAAACACAATTAGTTTATAAAAAATAATACACAATTCAAACAATAGAGAGTTTAGTTGAGTGTCATTTATCAAATACTTAATGGGTAACTTACCTTACCGTGTAACCATAGCAAGAAGGTCCATATCTTACTTAGTAAGGAACAAGACAAGGATCAAAGGTCATGTCCAGTAAGCGAAGATAATGATTCTTATGCAATAAGCGTTTATCGAGTGAAACACACTTCCCTACCATCTACTTTAATGACTGGGAATGCTACATGATAAGGTAAGTGAAGATGATACTTATTGCTGATAAACAATTACCCGTTAAGCGTTTGCTAAACAACCACTTAGTCATGAATTTTATCAAGTATTAGTTTCAAGATGATTAATCAAACCAATATCATAATTTTGATAAAGTTTGCAATTAAGGTTCTTGATAAGACTTTTATAAGTGTTACTACATGTATTTCTATTTATGCTAGAATCAGATCAAATTAAAAAGTAAAGAGTAAGTACTGATATAGATACGTGTCAAAAGAAAATTAATAGGTAACTGTACATTTAGCAATATACATGCGAGAAACAGAGGCACCAGAGAACCATAATCCCAAAAAAACTATGAGGCCAAACAAGCCAAATATCCCAAATCAATAACTATATTTTGAACCTAAATCATGTTCTTTTGTTCAACAAACAGATTCCATGTCAGTTTGCTATAGATTGGGTGTGTCGTTTGGTATTAGATATAAACCGAGTGGATTTCAAGAGTCCAAATGTCACATCGTCGTAAATAGAGAAACGTGGAACATTGGGTGTGTCGTTTGGTATTAGACTCTCTAAACGGGTATTATCAAATTAGATGAATTCATAAATAGACAAATCTTGACATTCTCATAAATTGGTCACGATATTTTAAATGTAAAATATTTGATATTTATCGATTGAGCTTTCCTGGACATCTAAGAATAAATTATAATACTAAAATATTTGATAAATGACAAAAATATTAAAATTAAAAATACAATATTATAATAGAAATTGGTGATATTATAATAAATTAATTTTGAAAGTATAATGTTATAATAAAAAAATGTAATATTAGCACTATCATACATGTGGACAACTTACATGAACGATGAGGTGGTAAATAAACCTGATATAATGGGTAAATTTAATTTAAAATGTTACCCAATGCTATAACAGCTAAAGTTTTGAAAGTACGATGTCTAATAAAAAAATATTCTAAAAGTACATTGTTGTAATAAAAAAACTAAAAATACAATACTATAATAAAAAAATTTATAAAAATAAATTATTATTTCACGCATTTTACCCTTTAGATTTCATCTGATGTTAAGCTTTCTTTAACTAAATGCATGCCTTATTTCCGAAGCAACACTCTTGACATGTCATTTTCTTTAAAAAGTAATGTTTATTTAGGGGTGTTCGCGGTCCGGTTTGGGCGGTTTAACCCCTCAAACCACAAACCAAACCGTAATGGCGGTTTATAAAATTTTCAAACCGAACGGTTTGACATCAAGTGCCCAGACCGGTCAAACCAGACCAAGTAAAAGCGGTCTGGTCTGACTGGTTTAGGCGGTTTGGGCCTTTAATGGACTTTATATTAAACTTATATAT